TTGGGATGTCCTCTATTTTGATATCTAGGCTGTAGATCAGGGCCAGGCTGTGACCAGCTGTGTGGTTTGGACCAGAGATGATCTCTGAAAGTGCTAAGGAGGCAAGTGAGGAGATGAGTTTTGGGGCTTGTGCATCTGCAAGCCTTGTCAATATGCATTTTAAAATCTCCAGGATGATAAGACGGGGGCATTTCACCACTACGGTTGACAAGGTATTAGCAAGCTCCTGTATGAATCCTTTTGTCTGTATTGGTCTGTAAATGAGCATAAAGTCTGTTAGCTTTGGCTGTGGTTTCTACTGTCAGATGAATGAATTTGAATGAAATTGCCTTACCTGCATTTGATGTCTGCAGAGAATTTGAACGCTGTGCTGCCTTTCTTCTTGTCTTATATGTCTGTGATTTTCTGAGTATCTTGGAGGGGACGAGATGGGCTAGCATGGGACCTGCAGTGTCATCTAGTCAGGTCTCAGTGATACAGACTATATTGGATCCTTCATCACTGATGAGCTCATATATTGTTGTTTGTTAACAGCAGATCTTGCATTGATAAGCATCAGTTTTAGTTTAGGATGCTTTGTACTGTCTACTTCCAGCCCCTTTTTAGGTAGTGGTCCTTTGCAGTACATAGGTGTTAGACGTCTGGAACCTGGCTTCTTATTTCTGCTTTTCTGTTTCCTGGGACAGTTCCTCCCAATTTGAACTGTGATAGGAGATGAAATGGATGTTGCCATGGGATGGTCCAAATGGAGATTGGTTGTCTCATTCACCAGATGCCATGGGCAGGGCAGGTCTGTTGGATATCCGTGGAGTTGTAACCTGGTTGAGTCCTGGGAATGGGCAGAGCTGGAGTAGTGTGTTCCTGGAGTAGTGGAGGGTGTGCTGGAAGCATGGTGGCATAACAGCAATGGAAACAGTAATAAATTACAATAATAATAGGTAAGGCTGAGCTGAGCAAGAGGAAGAGTCAATTGCATCAGACATCTATTTCCTTGAAGTAAGCTATCTGTGTTATCATGACATCCCTGTTGCTCTTCCCTGCTTAGGGAAGGAGGTGGAAAGGAGAGGGGAAGAGAGAGAGCACGTACCATTTGTCTTGTCTGAGGGCTTGTTTACATTAACCATTAGTTCATGGCAAGTTGGGATGTAAATCTGCCCCTCACTAGCCTGATTCACATTAAGTGTCTGTGTGGACCCTGATGCTGCACACTAAAAGTGCTATGTGTGCTTTGATCTGTTCCTGTTTCAAAGCAGGCTAGATCAAAATGCAGTACAGAACTTTTAGTGTGTGGCAGCAGGGTCCACCTGGGCACTAGTGTGTGGCAGGGTCGATTTACACCTCAGTCTGCTGCAAACTAAGTGTACAGACAAGCTCGGAGTTAGAGCTGTAAAATGGCCTCCTGACCTTCAGGTGGGGACAGGGATTCGTACTTGTAAAGAGAGTTGAGTCCTTTTGGCAGCCTTCTGCCTAGTGATGGTTCCTGTGTTGAGGGAGGAGCTAGAGAGGAGTCACAGCCTCATTTTCACCTTTTAGAAAATATCTTTCAATTTTCAAAAAGTTAAGATGTGACCAAAGGTACTCCCCTGCTATTTCCACTGGTGCTGGCCAGCTGCAGAGCCAGCTGGAGCCCACTGCTACTGTGTTCCTGCTGGAGTGAGGAAGGAGAAAGTGGTCAGAGGAACAGAGACCTGACCTTTTAAGGGCTCTCAGGCTTCTCAAGAGGCAAGTAGCTGGAGTAGCTGGTCCCAGTTATGAGGGTGCAGACATATAGAGATACAAATAAAGCAGAAGTCTCTGCCTTAGGTAGAGACATCAGTCTCTCCAGTTTGGGAGGATTTCAGACTTCGTTTTAATTCTGTTTATGATTTGTTTTCTGTAGCATCAGCTGTGTCTTTTTTTTTAAAGTAAGCATAGATTCAAATATTTTAAGGCCAGAAGTGACAATTGTGATCATGTGGTCTGACCTCCTGTATAACACAGACCATAGAACTTCCCAAAAACATTTCCTAGAGTGTATCCTGATTTAAAAATTGTCAGTGAAGGAGAATCCACCACGCCACTTGGTAAATTGTTCCATGAGTTAATTACTTTCACTGTTAAAAATATATGCCTTATTTCTAGCAGCCCAAAGAGCTGAGGCCCTTTGCATGAAGAGAGCTTTTACTGGGTATTGGCTCAGCAGAGAAGAGATCCCTTTTTCCCAGAAAAGGGTTTATTTCCCTCCAACAGACTGTCTCCTAGTTTTTATGTTAGGAATATTGGAATTGGGATCACTGTAGAGCTCCCAGAGTGATATTGTAGCTAAAGGGGCTAATATGATCCTTGGATGTATAAATAGGGTAATATTCAGAGACAGAGTGATATAAAATTATCTCTGAATGTGGCATTACTGAGACCATTACTAAAATACTAGTTATACTTTGGGTTCAACTCAGATGAGTAAGGGGTTATATCACCACCTGCCCTGCAATTCTGGGTGCCTTAAACATTATGCTTCTGTGGCTCACAGCACTGACACCAGCAGCCAGCCTACAAGCATGCAGGTCACACCCTGGCTTCCACTGCCAAGTTATATTTTGAAGAGTGACCCCAACACCCTCCCATTATCAAATTTCCCCAAAACCATCTGCCAATGTGACAATCTGCTGTGGTTCCCAGAATCGTGAGTTACTGTGGTACCCCTCTCAGCCTCAGCAAGTGATCGTTTTGCTATTGCTAAGCTGCATGACAGATCACTGACACACCAGCTTGTCTGCCTTAGGACAAAAACTTTTGTCCTATGACTTTAAATTCTGTGACAACAGGGATGTTAACGGGCCACCTCATCTTGAATGGTCCCTTAAAATATGCGCTATCTGCCTATGCTAAACTATCTGTTCAACCTTGTTTTTAACTGTGACACTCTTAGTATTTTCCCCAGACCCGAGGAAGAGTCAACGGAAGTTGGTCCATTAAAAAATACTACCTCACCCACCTTTGTGTCTCTTGCATCAGAGACACGTTCAAGCAGGTGGAACCACATTCCTTTTTCTCAGGTGGGGTATTATGTCCTGTTTGCACACATTTTAAGAACATAATTTCAGCATATGTTTGTAATTTTTCCTATGTTACTCCTACATACACCACACAATAATATTAATTATCAATGAGTTATGAGTTTTCCAAATATATATTACATAGCACTTTTGGGATCTATAACATGAAAACAGTGTTTTAAGTGTAGTGAAGATGTCTGGCTTGATAAGAGTTGCTGTATTATAGAGTAGTGAACCACTTATGGGCCTCTGTCTCACAATACTTTGCCCTAGTTCTGGTGTCTACACTTCTAAAAGGAAGTTGAAAAAATTGGAGAGGATTCAGAGAAGAGCTACAAGAATGATTCAAGGTGTGGAAACCTGCCTTACGGTGAGAGAGACTTAAGGAGTTCAATCTATGTAGTTTATCAAAGAGAAGATTAAGATGTGACTTAAACATGGTCTAGAAGTCCCTGCATGGGAAGAAGATGTTTGATTCTAGAGATGTCTTTTATCTACCAGACAAAGGCATAATAAGATCCAGTGGAAAGAACCATCAAATTTTTTAATAGTGAAGGTAATTAACCATTGGAACATCTTACCAAGGTATGTAGTGGATTCTTCATCACATTATCTCTTTAAATCCAGATTGGATGTATTTCTAAAATATATACTCTTGCTCAACCAGCAGCTATGGGCTGGATGCAAGAATCAGGAGGTCAGACTAGATGATCGTAATGGTTGTTTCTGGACTTAAAATCTTTGATTTTGTATCTTATAACTCTGATTATTATTGACTGTCTCATCTCCCATCCCCTTTTCACATTTGTGATTATGCTGAGGGTATGTCTACATTGCAATCATAAATTGGGATTAATGTAGCTATCTGAGGTACCAGTAGCAATGAAGCTGCAGCAGCATGGGCTTCAGCACAGCCTAGCTGCCCAAGTAATTACCATGAGTTCCAGGTGATCTTGTACAGCCTCCATTGAAGCCCATGCTACTGTGACTTCACTCCTGTTAGTGCGCAATCTAGCTAGATTAAAGCTATCTTGGGTATGTTTACACAAGATGCATTTGGGGAGGAGGGATAGCTCAGTGGTTTGAGCATTGGCCTGTTAAACCCAGGGTTATGAGTTCAATCCTTAACTGGAGCAAAGTCCCAACAGAGGTGTGCTGTCATGACTGCACTGGTATAGCATACTCTAGTTTGAAATTGGTGTAAGGGGGATTAGTGTTAGTCACAGTTTACATTGGTATTGTGCAACTAGTTTAAGAGTGTGAACCAAGTCTTCCATGATTTCTTGCTACTCATCCATTCAGGAACTGACTGGAAGTTTCTAGTGAGGGATTGAAGCACTAATGGATAGAGTGGGTGGGGGTTTGTGTTCAATTATCAGCACCAGAGGACCACAACTTTAAAAGCCAGGTTGAGTTCTCATTCTGTCTTGTGCTGGAAGCTCAAGAACTAGGAATGGGAATCTCCTGTGAAGAATCAATCCTGTCTATGTTGGTGCAGTGGAAAAATGCATATAATTTATATTTGCATAACATCTTTCCTCTCAACTCTCTCAATTATCCTACCACACAAATACCTCGATTCCTCCCTGCACATGCTGTTCACCAATGTTCCCTTTTGGCTCTTCCACACTGCACCAGTATTCTTTCTGTCTCCCCTAATCCACCAATACATCAACATACTATGCAATGAAAATTTAGCTTATATGAGCATTTTAATCATTCAAATTTGTGTTTTAAGGATTGAAATGATAGATTCTGTAAATGATAGATAAAACTATAATGCACAACAGAAATTCCAAAAACATCTATTGTAAAAATGCAGGCTGGTAGTAACAATAAAAAAATCATAAATGAGAGAATAGATTTTTTTCACTGTTCATTTTTTTTTAAAGTGTAAAACACAATTTAGCAAATTTAACAATGTAGATTTCTCCCCTTACTGCCTCCCCTCCCCCACAAAATCAGTCAGAAGATATTCAGCAGAAATATCAGGATCCTGCAGCCCTTAGGAAGGACTATGGCCATATGAGTGTGTGTAAGTATGAAATTATCAGTATGCTTACTGTGTTTGAACTGGTCACATTGATTATTTGAAGGCTGCACTGATTAAATTGGTTCAGCTTTTCTTTTAAAAACAATTTTCGTGTGACCCTAGCATGAAAGGTTTAGAATCTCAGCTGGTGTAAATCAGCATGCACCGATTTACACCAGCTAAGTATCTGGGCCAAAGTAACTTCTCTGCTCCTCTAATCAAACTGTCTCTTCTTGCTCTTATTTGTTGTAGGGGAACCTGTGGAATATAACATCGAACAAAGCACAGAAACCACCCAGAAAGAAGGTAAAATGCAACTGCAACAGCAAATCAGCCCCATTAGAAATGAAGGAAATGTGGAGTCAAAAGGAAGAGGTTTCCTTGAGTTAGTGAAAAGGTACTATAGTAGCTTTAAACCATCTAGAGACAGATTTATCCATGGCAGGGAGCAGGGGCAATGCCCATTCATGAATTCAGTATAACTGAATGGTAGTTGAAGTTGGGACTTGCTTACTGTTTAACAGCTGTTTTTTTCAGTGCTCTACAATCCACATGCTTAATGGATGGTCTTGAAAATTGCTGTTTGCCGAGGGGGTTTTGGGGCAGGGCTAGTGGTCCAAATTTGGGTTTAGTTCGGTTCCCAAGCTACAATTTCCACTAAAAGTCCAATGATATGAAAACATTACATTTATTTTTATGTTTTTGTGCACAATGGGGATTAAACTATATAACTCTAATACTTCCAAAACTTGGAATTAACCTCAGCTAGTGCTGGGCAACCACTGGCTCTTTGGAGACACAATATTTCAAAAGTTCTTCAGGATAAAGTTTGAAACTACAATATAGGTTGAATGAAAGTGATACGCCAAAGAGAGTGAAGTGTGCATAAGCAACAGCACTAGGGTTCTGCTGTAAGCCAGAACCCAAGCACAACCCATGTATTTTGAGGTTTAATCCTGTCCTTGGCAGCTTTCTGATAATAGGTGTTATGCATATCAGTTGCATTCTTCATGTGCTCTTTCTAGAATTTTTGCTCTGACAGCAAAGCTTGTTCAAGAGCTGAGATTTCAAAGTGCTCTAAAATGCATGTGCTTACTCAAATTTTACTTTAGAAGTATTGTCATAGAAAATAATATTAACTAAATAAAGGGAAGATGAAAGATTCTAGTAAGCAGCTGCATTACGGTAATGTAATCATAAGTCATGCTGTTCCCTAGTTTTCAGAAGTATTCAGTGTGAGTGTGATCAGAGAAAAGCAAATAGCTATGACTCATCAATGTCAACATGATCAAAGCTGCTGTTCTGCATCAGGAAACACATCAATTATAGAGAGTCCTGTTCTAAGGACTGATGTAAAGTCCACAGTGACTAATGTTGTACCAAAATACTGTCATCAGTCAAAGCAGTAACTTACGTTTATCATGAAAAATGAACATATAAAACAAACTTAAACTTTCTTCAGTAATTCACCCAATCTACACAAAGCAAGGATCACACCCCTCAACGTGCTGGAATTCCTTGGAAAGGGGGCTCTGAAGGAAATGTCAGATACTAGAAAAATCTTAGTCATGTAGGGCTAGATCCACAGAGGGATTTAGGCATGGCAGGGCTGAGTATTATAGTGCCTACCCTTTAGGCATCCTGTCACCTAGTAGAATTCACAGCCCCAGGTTAGGCACCCAGGCTCCCTATACAATGTCTGGGGAGAGTTAGGTGCCTAAGAATGGGATCCTTTGGCAATGTCTACACTACAGAGTTTTGTCGACAAAAGTTACGTCGACAACCAAAAAACGCTATAGTAACATTGCTATTGCATGTTCACACTACGCTCCCTCTGTTGGCAGAGCACATCCACACCTAGTGCTCTAGCATTGACAGTGAGAGTGGTGCACTGTGGGTTCCTATCCCACAGTCCCACTCACCACCTTATGCTGCTATGACTTGTGGGTTGGCGGAATGGATCGCAACGCATCATGGGTGTGGGCTCAACGTCCCATGATGCATTGTTTTCTGTCCCAACATTCCATGGTCTTCCAGCCATCTGTGTGTGAAAGGAGGGATCCTAAACTGCTCTCCAGTGCTCTGCTAGTTGTCATTAACACATCACGGTTGGCAGTTTAGTTAATTATAAAGTTTCTAACTGAACAGTATTCAGAGTTGCCTGACCTGCTGGGTGACATGGATAGGAGTGACATATGATTACTTTTGGCATTCACGGAACAGCTGCACGCAGGGGACTGGCGCTTTTGGGCTCGGGAAACAAGCACTGAGTGGTGGGATTGCATCATTATGCAGATCTGGGATGATGGGCAGAGGCTGCAGAACTTTCAAATGCGGAAAGCCACCTTCCTGGAACTGTGTGCAGAGCTTGCCCCAGCACTGTGGTGCAAGGACACCAAAATGAGAGCTGCCCTCTCAGTGGAGAAGCATGTGGCGATTGCAGTATGGAAGCTGGTGACTCCAGACTGCTACTGGTTGGTTGCTAATCACTTTGGAGTGATGAAGTCGACTGTTGGGGCCGCTTTAAGGCAAGTGTGCAAGGCCATTAATCACACCCTGCTGCGAAGAACCATGACTCTTGGCAATGTGTGTGAAATAATGAATGGCTTTGCGGAAATGGGTTTCCCTAACTGCAGAGGGGCGATAGATGGCACACACATCCCAATTTTGGCCCTGGATTACCTTGCAACGAAATACGTCAATAGAAAGGGGTACTTTTCCGCAGGCATTTCACTGACTGTCAGGATGGTTGTGAACCCATTGGACTTGGATAGTTCTACTACAAAGGCTAAGACTGTCCAGGGGCCAGGTGGAATCTCAAGGAGTTGTGGGAGTCCCAGGGATTTATTGTGCAATGCCTTGGAGCAGGCACATATATTGCAAGAGGCTGCATAGGCCTGCACTGTGTCCTGTAAGCAAAGTCACTAGAAGAAATGAATTTTAAAGTGGCCAAAATGTTCTGCCACAGGGGAATCATGGCATACCTGTAGGGCGGTAGCCTCAGAGGTCCAAGGGGACATATATATGCCCTTTTACATAGGTTACCCCATCTAGGCCCTTGTGGGGTTCCTTACTTATGGTTTCCTGGTCAGCAGGAGGGATTCCATGCACAGAGGCTGATCTTATGAGGGTGAACAGATCTTGGGGAGGAGCTACACCCAGAAAGTTCTGAAGCTTGAGGATGCAGGAGGTTTTCAGGTTCAGGTCTTTCAGGTCAGTGTAATACTCACTCTTCTGGGACAAAGCATCAGCTTTGCTGATTTTGGTTACTGGGCAACAAGAGATTACAAAATTAAAGTGCAAAAAGAATAAGGCCCACTGAAGTTGTCAGTGGTTGAGGACCCTAGCCCTATGCAGATATTCAAGGTCCTTGTGGTCAGTGTACAGCTGGACAGGAAACTGGACCCCTTCTAGATAGTGGCACCACTTCTGAAAAGCGGTCTTAATTGCCAGTAGTTCTTTGTCTAAAATGTTGTAGTTCTTCTGTGGGGGTTTGAGTTTTCTGGAATGGAAGGTGCAAAGATGTAGCAGTTGTTGAGGACCATGCGTTTGGGATAGCACAGCTCCGATCGCTAAGTTGTAAGCATCTGCCTTGAGGATGAAGGCTTGCATGGTGTCGGGATGGACCAATATGGGAGCAGTCATACAGGCGAGCTTCAATTGTTTGAAGGTCTACTAGACCTCAGGAGAGAATTGGAACCTGATGTTTTTGAGGAGCAGGACAGTGAGAGGGTTGATCCACTCTGAGAACTTCAGAATGATAGGAGTTTGTGAACACCAAGGAGCATTGTAGTTCATGAACATTCTATAGTGCTGCACACTGTATGGATTCATTTTGATACCAGCAGGAGAGAGGATGAAACCTAGGAATTCTATGGAGGACTGATCAAAAGCACATTTTTCTAGTTTGGCATAGAGGCCATGTTGGCATAACCTGTCCACAATGGAACAGACTTGCATGGTGTGCTCTTCAGCATTGTCTGAGAAAATAAGCATGTCATCCAGCTATTGGTCCAAATGTCCTAGAGTACATCATTTATAAATTGATGGTTGGTGCATTTATCAACCCAAATGGCATCACAAGATACGCAAAGTGTCCATAACGTGTTCAAAAGATGGTGTTCCATTTGTTCCCAACTCTAATGCATACTAGGTTGTAGACCAGTGGTTCTCAACCCGCGGCCCATGGGCCGCATGTGGCCCAATTAGCACACAGCTGCGGCCCAGCTCAGGAGTCGGGGTTGGGGCTCCGGCTGCCCCCGGCCCCGTGCAGCGGCAGGGTCAGGGTCCCGGTTGCTCCCCCCGTGCAGCGGCAAGGTCAGGGGCAGGGCTGTCAGCTGCCCCCCGGCACCATGCAGTGGCATGGTCAGGGTCTGGGGTCCCAGCTGCCCCCCAGCCTTGTGCAGCGACAGGGTCAGGGTCTGGGGTCCCGGCTGCACCCTGGCCCCACACAGTGGGGTCCAGGATCCCTGCACAGTTGGGGTCTGGGTCCCTGCCACCTGCCCCGCGTTCTGCTTCTGGCCTCATTCTGTGGAGGGGTCTCTGGGCAGAGGGGTCCGTGATAGCAGCCAGCCAGGAATTCCTCTAGTTCAGTAGTTCTCAAACTTATTTGATTGTGTCCCCCTTCTTTGCGTCTGTAATCCCTGTCCCCCCTCCCCCAGTACATATACTGCCATCCAGCTCTGAAGGCAGCACCGTGCCAGCAGCAGCAAAGAAGTAAGGGTGGCAATGTGAAAAGTTATATTCTTCAATTCACTTTTCACAGCAGACTTAGCGCTGCATTGCCATCCTTACTTTATTGTGGCTGCTGCCACCCCGAGGCTGACAGCTGAGCCCCGCTGCGTCCAAGTGAGGGATCGGGGTGCGGGGAGAAGCAGAGCCTGAGTTCAGGCTGCCTCCTGGTGAGGGAATGGGAGGGAAGGAGAGCCTGAGCCTGGGTGGTGGGCTGTCCCCTTTTATCCCCGCCTCCTGGCTGTGCATGGCCCTTCTGCTTGTGCCCCAACCACCTGGGGCTGAGAGCCTCTTTAAAAAAAATAAAAGCGCACAGCTCATGCCTCCCTTG